TGCTCGAGCTCGCGCAATCGCTGAGCGTGACCGCTCGGGCCGAGGTGTTTCGCCTCTTGCTCGAGCGCCGCGTGCTCGTCCCGTTCCTGGTGGCCACGTCCGACCACCCGACCACGTTTCGGTGCGAAGCGGCGGCACTCGAGTACGTCGACACGCTGATCTCGTCAGCGACCGAAGGCACGACGAGTACGGCGTGCTTGATGCGCGACGTGGCTGCCCTCCGCGTCGTTGTTGTGTCGGACCGCGACGCCATGAGCAGCGTGACCAAGGACTGGATCAAAAATGTGTTTCATATCCAGTCGGTGCATGCCCTCGACCGGGTCTGTAGCAACCGCGTCACCCAACGGCCGTGCGTGGCCGAGCTCGGGTGGGGCTTTGTCAAGCAAGGTAGCAAATTCGAGACCGTCATGGTGCTACACGTGATCGGCGAGTACCACCGCCTCGACACGTTCATCGAAGCGTTTGCCGACGCCATCGTTATCGACGTTGGGCAGGACGGCGGCAGCAACGTCCCCATGCGCCGAGGGTGCGTCCTCAAGTGGCAGCACTCGAACGAAGACGAAGACGACGAAGATGTGTCGGAAGATGGATCCGTGGTTACGACGATCGAGATGCGATGCCCCATTTCATCGTCGTACGCGTCGATACAAGAGTACTTGTTCATGTATGGCATGCCGGAGAAGGGTGCGGCGGGGCGTGTCCCGGTGCCAGAGATCGCCGCCGCGTCGACGGCACTTGTCCCGACTCGCCCGGCCGCCGTCAGCGCGGCTGCGGTTTGCCTCGCCACGGACTTTGCATCGTTCCGCACACACACGCTCAAACTCCAGCGCATCTTCGTCGAAGAGGCCAAGCTCATGATCATGTACCACCGGGAAACCAACGTCGCGAATAAAGAAATGCACCTCGAGAAAGCGCGCCAACTCAGGCAGCACAACACGCAGATCTCCCGCGTCGTGCAGGACCATCCGTTGATTGCTCACTTCATCGAAGCGCTCAAGCACCAGTCGCCCGTGGCGCGCGAACGGGCAATCATCGACTTGGAGCTGCACCTGGCTGCTTCGAGCGAGCGCGCGAGCGAGACAGCGCGCCACGAGTACCGCCGCGCCCGCGACGCCGTCAACCGCGCCAAGACCCGCGCCACGCAGCAAGCGTACGTGGATGCGCTCGAGACGTGGGGGCTCATGGTGACAGGGCTCGAACACTTGTGGCGCGAGCTGTCGCACATGTTTGTCGGTAGCCCGCGGGAATACGGCCACTTCCCCGAGCTCGCTGCCATGCATTTACTCGATGGATTTCCGATGGAACTCATGGACGGGGACGCCGCCATGGTGAACCTCAAGTGGATCACGGCGATTCTCAACAAGCTCGAGGACAAGCTCCCGACGGCCCGCATCTTTGTGCTGTCCATCATGGGCGTCCAGTCGGCGGGCAAATCGACGCTGCTCAACTACATGTTTGGCGTGCGGCTCCGCACGAGCGTGTCGCGGTGCACTCGCGGCGTTAGCCTCCAGCTCCTCCAGTGCGACGGGCGCGCCGAGTACGACTACATCTTGCTCCTCGACACCGAGGGGATTCGGTCCCCCGAGTACATTGGGACGGAGGGCAGCGTGTGGCGCGACAATCGCATGGCGACGCTTGCGATTCTCCCGTCGGACGCCACGATCATCCTGACCAAGGGCGAGTCAACCGTCACGATCAGCGAGATCTTGCCCATCGTGCTGTCGGTGTTTCTCGACTCGGAGCTGACCGAGAAGCACCGGGGACAGCTCGCGTCCAAGTTTTACTTTGTGTTCAACCAGATTGACACAAGCCAGAGCACCAACATGGAAACCATCGTGGACACGCTGCTGCGCAACCTCCGGTCCAACGCGAAAAAAATACAAGCGATCCGTGGCAACCCCATGGCGACGTCCGACGACGAGGAGGAATCGTCGATCAAGTACTTTTCACAGTTCCAAGTCGACATCAAGGACGAAGACGCGAGCGACGTGCGATTCCTTGGCACGATCAAAGGGTCGAGCGAGCCGCCGGACGATGCGCCGACGCCCCAGTACGGCAAACGGCTGCTCAAGTTTCGCGATTACATCCACGACCGCGCGAGCCACTACGTCGGTGCGACCGGCCAGCTCGTCAAGAATCGCCCGTGGACGGGCAGGCTCGTCCGCGAATTCAACGACGATCTCACGCGTGTGTGGGAATGTATCAACCAGTCCAACTTCCAAATGGACTTTTTGGCGGCGCACGAGCGTGTGTCGTACGACGAGCTCATCCGCATCATGACGCAGCACAAGCAGCACCTGGCCCGCGCGTACTCGGAAGCGTTCGACACAGTCCTTCAGCACATTTGCGACGACAACGCCAACAATGTCCGCGTCGACGAGCACAGCCGCAAGTACGAACACAAGCTCAAGCAGGAGGTCCAGCCCGCCGTGTTTCGACTCGACACGCTCGCGTGCGCCGACTTGGACGCGGACAAGTTTGCCAAGTGGAAGCTCGATCAAGAAATCAAGTGGCAGAACCACAAGATCAACCAAGAAGCGCACACGCTTCGGCTCGTCAAGGACAAAGTGAACCAAGTGTTTTTGTACGACATTCACGTGAAAAAGTACAAGGAGATGCTGTACGACGAAATCACGACCAAGTTTCGCGACGCGGGCAACCGAGGGGCGACCAAGACCAAGTTTCACTTGACGGACAAAGCGTTTGAAGACTTGTTTGAAAGACTCATGTACAAGGCCAAGGCGGACCACCCCCCCGTCGCGCCGACCGTGTGCCCGGCCATCTACGAGCTGTTTGTCCACGGCGGGCTGTTCAACCCAAAGCAACTGAGCTTTCTCCATCAGCAGCGGCGGCGAGGACCCACGGCCCGCGTCGACGTCGTCCGCATGCGGCGGGCCAACGACACGATCTTGCTCCAGTCGACCGAAGCCACGCAGCTCGAAGTCCAAGAGTACGTTCGGTCGCTCCTCGTCGACACGCAGCGGTATAGCCAAGACGTGGCGACCGACTGCATCCTCCAGACCAAAGAGTTTCTCGCCAAGCTCCGCCTGCCCAACACCACGTACGACGCGTGTGTGCCGGTGCTGTACACGACGCTCGTGTCGCAGTTCAAGGCGATCCAAGAGAAATGGGACGAAGAAAACAGCGTGTCGGCCAAGTTTGCCACGTGCAAGCCCGTCATGAAGAAGTTTGCGCAGCATTTGTGCTCGGGGCATAAGGCAGCGGACCTCCTCATTGCAACACTCGACGACTGGATTGCCAACCATTTGTCGAAAGCCGTGGCAGAAGAAGTCGTGAGCTCCGTCGCGTCCACACTCAAGCACGAACCGTGGGTGTCGGACGCACGGTCGATGCAAGCGTATTTGGACCACAGTTTGCTGTGCGAGATGAAAGCAAAGCGCATCGACAACGTGCTCAGGTGGCTCCAGTCGCCGACGGACCACAGCGCGCTCGTCATCCAAGGCTTGATTCAAGCCAAGGTGAAAGAGTGCTTTGGGACGGCCGCCGACACGATTGTAACCACGATGAAAACGTGCGTGACGACGGCGGCGACGGACGCTGCCACGTTCGACAGAGATCGATCAAAGCGATTCATCGTCGCGCTTCGTCATAGCTTGCAAAAGGCGCTCAAGGGCAGCGGCAGGTCCGTGCTCGTCGAAAACCTCCCAAACGCGGACGACGACGTCATGAACTGCGACCACCACGGCCCGACCATCTTCACCACGAGCAAGGACGTTAACGTGCTCACTTCGACCATGCAGAGCCTTGAGCGCCACAAAGCAGCCCTCCGGCCATCCAACTACACCACGGCCGAGCTTGCCGACGGCATTCTCAAGATGATTCGCACGGAAGCGTACGGCGCGTCCAGCGGCGTCGTCCCGCGCTGTGGAATGCCATGCCCGCGGTGCTTTTGTCCGTGCACCAAGGCGTTGGGCCACAAGTTGAGCGATGATCCGAACGAGGCCCTCCACGACACATACCATCAGCCCAAGGGCATCATCGGGTCGTATAAAGTGGAAACCGGGCAACTCGTGGCTGGGACGTGTCCGGCGGCGGTCGAGAAAGACGTGTACATGGTGCTGGAAGGCGGCGACCGGTCGTTCCGTGAGTTTGACAAAGTTTACCCAGGGTGGGCGATCCCGACCAAGCAGGAACCGCTGCCCCTGCGCGAATACATCTTTGCCACGTACCAGGCGCAGCTTGCCGAGATGCACAACAAGGCCAAGTGCGTGCGCATCCCGCGCGAGTATTACCACGACCTGGACGACATCACGCGCAAGATCCAGCGACTGCTCCACAAGAACTAGGCAGATGCGTCAGAGTAACATAAAGCTTGGCACGCCCTCAACTTGTTGCCGATCGTTGTTGGTTGCCTTGGACATGACGTGGGTATGCAACTCCACGATGAACAGAGCCAACGACTCCTT